CTGGTGGCATAGTGTTCTGAGAAATTTAAAGGAACTGCTACAAGTACCTAATTAATCCTTACAAAGTTGAGATAATCTGATTCATTAAAAGAACAATGTGTGCCTGGCACTGAACTAGAAATTTTTAATTACCATTTTGTACTTTGCCGATAACTTGATCTTCAGTGAAGGAAAGCCACTGTCTCTGGGTGATATACCAAAATGTTTAAGGTGCTGAGCTGCAGGAAATAGAGCAAATCACAGGTAAATGACCTAAATTTTAAGAATTTATTTTTTACTTGTTGAAATTGTATTCTTAGGCTATTTGATTCTTAAGACACTTTGAATAAGAACTCATTCTACCTATCTTTTTAAACAGTTATTTCATTTTAATAGTTGACACAAAATTTTCATAACATTGAATCACTTAAGCCATTGAACAATTTGACGTTACTTTCCAGTCTGAATTAATTCTTCCACTGTTTGCGTCCACCTATTTTCTTTAAAATGTTTTCATCTTTTCTAGAAACATTTCTCACTTTTTAAGTTTTTTTTATTATTAGCAGTTGTAATAATGCCTTTTAAACTTGAAAATATTCACTGTGCTCAAAGAGAATGCAGTGAAAACTAGAATATTGGGCTTGATATTGAATATTAAAGGGTTTTTTCCCCAAAGATTCTGTTCTTACATAAAACTAACAATCTAGGTATAAATTTACCTATATCAAAACTTCTTTCAAGAACTTCATCAGAGATAATTAATTTTGCAGATATTCCTGCATACCCTACATTTAAAAACACCTACCAAATTAACTCTTATTGGTAAGATAATATTTCAGAAGAGGGCTTATCATTTTACCTGACTCAATATTCTATTAGTTACACTGTACTTTTGAGAGAAAAAAAGTTTGACAGAGGAAGGTTGAAACTTTTCCTCAGTAGGATGAAGTCAGAAAATTCTGTAAGATCTAAGAATAGCTCTCATATAAAAGGATTGTAGAGGCTGGATTTGAGGTACACATTTCTGTGAAGTTCTCACTACTTATTAAATGACAGATGCTCTTATAGTATCTGTTTGTTTGTTCTTTCTTTCTTTAGTTAACAGGATTAAATTTCTTGCTCATTAAAATTGATACTTCACTAGTGTATGGGATTGTAGTTTAAATTTAAAAAATACATATGTATATATATATGTGTTTTGTGTATGTAGAAGTGTATGTAGAAGAAACTTTGATTCAATATTTTACCATAAGCTGGATTTTCTATAGAAGAACTATATATAGAGTGTCTTGATCTGCCTAGAGCTCATTTCCATTATTAAGATCAGCTGAGACTTCAGCTTTCGGTCAAGATGGAGTAACAAGGACGGGATTTATCCTACTGCACAAGGAAACAACAACAAAAATATCAAATCAAGATACTGGGCATCAGACAACCAAAGACTGTGATTTCTGAGGATGGAAGACAAATGAGGTGAGTTGTGTCAATGTCTTAGCTTACTACAGTGAGAGGATTTCAAGCTACCATTCAGGGAAGAGGAACATAGGGAGAGCCTGGCCTGATGAAGCTAAGAGTTCAGAGAGAACAAGCTGACTACAGTTCATAGGACAGACTATCAGAAAGGAGAAAACTTCACAGAGAAATAACCTGAGAGTCATGCAGAAGGTACCCACTGAGTATTCAACATAGTACTGATCACTGTATTCATTTGAGGAAACTGCCAGAAGCTGTGAAAGCACCATCCAAAAGAATTACAGAGAACAGTGCTTAACATTCACACAAGGCCAGACAAAGCACCTGTTCCCGACAGCCAGACTGGAGGATTGAATAGAGTACTCAAAAAGGTCCTGTCTCAGTAGCTGAAAGTAATTTGCTCCAGACTGGGTAATATTCTCAACCCACCAAACAAATCTTAAAGGAAGTCTCTAAAGGATCTGCTTCCATGTAACTCAACTGCATATAAGTTACAAAGTTTAAGAATATTTATAGAAATATAAAATATCTACTCAACAAATAAAATCCACAAGGCATGACATTCAATCAAAGATTTACACACCTACAATTAAACAGGAAGATATAACTCATATTGAGGAGGTCAATTAAAAATGACAGAGGTATAAGAATTAGCAGACCCAAAGACGTAATTATTATACCTGGTTTCCATATGTTTAAAAAATTAAGTAGAAATATTGAAGACAGGAAAAAAGTCAAACTTTTAGAGATGAATGCTATAATATCTGAAATGAAAATTCAGGGTAGCGAAGAAATACCAGTAGAAATTATCCCAAATATAAAACATAAAAATAATAATAAAAAAGAACACAAAGAACATAAGTGAGTGTAAAACAACTTTCACTCATGTATACAAGGTGATATGTAAGGTGATATATATATGGTTGCTTAAAGTTATTTCACACTCCTTCAAGTTCTTTGAATTCTTTTATTATTATTTTTATGTTTTAAATTTTGGATAATTTCTACTGCTATTCACTATCCTGAATTTTCATTTCAGATATTGAAGCATTCATCTCTAGAATTTTGACTATTTTCACATCTTCAATATTTCTGAATATATAAACATATATATATATGCAGACATGCAATAAAATAGGCATATATATATATCCCTTTATATACATATATAAAGACATGTGTATAAGCCTTTATATATATAAAGACATATATACACACACACACATACACACACACACACACATGTAATTGGATCTTTGAAGAAGGGAAGAGAGAGCACACAAAAAAAGAACTGAAGAAATAATGGCCAAAATTTTCTAAATTTTATGGAAATCGAACACACACATTCAAGGAAGGTAAATGAGCCTAAACACAAACATCATGACGTAAACTACACCAAGTCACTTTATCATAAAATTACTCAAAACCAATTATAAAGTGAAAATTGTAAAAGCATCCAAGGGAAAAAAAAGATATATTATGAAGAGACAATGATTGGGAAGACAGATTTCTCATCAATAAAACTTAAGCAAGAAGACAGCGGACCAACATCTTTAAAGTTGTGACAGAAAATATTGACAATATAGAATCTAATGTTCAGTCAACATACTGTTCAAAACTGAATGTAAAATAAAGATAACTCAGACTTATAACAACCTAAAACATTTATTTTGAGAAGACCTACACTACTAGAAATTTTCAAAGAAATCTACCAGATGCATGAAAAGTAACACCAGCTAAAATATGCATTGAAAGCAATGAAGAGAACAAGGAAAGGTAACTACATGGGTAAAAAAATAATAAGACGATTTTGTTTCTTGTAGTTTAAATTTCTTCTAAAGATAATTGAGGCTGGGCATGGTGGCTCATGCCTGTAATCCCAGTACTTGAGAGGCCAAGGCGGGCTGATCACCTGAGGTCAGGAGTTCAAGACCAGCCTGGCCAACATGGCGAAACCCTGTCTCTACTAAAAATACAAAAATTAGCTGGGCGGCAGCAGGCACCTATAATCCTAGCTACTCGGGAGGCTGAGGCAGGAAATCGCTTGAACCCAGGAGGCAGAGGTTGCAGTGAGCCAAGATCATGCAACTGCATTCCAGTCTGGGTGACAGAGCGAGACTCCTCTGTCTCAAAAAAATAATAATAATAATAATAATAATTGATTGTTTACATAAAATATGACATGCAATTGTTAAAAAATACTTAATCCAAAGGAAGGCAGTTTATAACAAAGAAATACAGAACAAGAACAGATAAGACATGTAGAAAACAAATAGAAAGTGAGAGATTTAGACCTAACTCTGTTAATAACCATATTCAGTATAATAGGTCCAAACATTCCAATGAAAGCAATGTTTGTCAGATTGGATGAAACAGGAAGACCCAGCTCAGTGCTACTTAACATGAATTCACTTTAAATATAAAGATACAAAAATGATGCTTATACTAATGCTATTCAAAAGGAATATGGTTTTTAAGAGCATGGGTTCTGGCCAGGCACGGTGGCTCACACCTGTAATCCCAGCACTTTGGGAGGCTGAGGCAGGTGGATCACAAGGTCAGGAGTTCAAGACTAGCCTGGCCAACATGGTTAAACCCAGTCTCTACTAAAAATACAAAAATTAGCTGGGTGCAATAGCGCACACATGTAGTCCCTGCTACTCGAGAGGCTGAGGCAGGAGAATCACTTGAATCTGGGAGGCAGAGGTTGCAGTAAACTGAGATAGCACCACTGCACTCCAGCCTGGGTCACAGAGCGAGACTCCATCTTAAAAAAAAAAAAAGAAAGAAAAGAATGGGTTCTGAAATCAGATTGTCCAGGTTTGAAAACTGATTTCATCTTTTAAAACTCTAGCAACTGTGGGCAAATTTTTAAATCTTTCTATCCTAATCCAATGGGGATGGTATAATAATAACTATATCATGAGTTCTTGTAAAGACAAAGTAAAAGCTTATCACATTGTAAGAGTTGAATAAATATAAGCTATTATTAAAATCCATACATCCGCTTGAGAAATTTGGCCCTGAAAGGCAGGAGAAAAATAGAAATATTTCTCCTTTTTTCTGGGTCACACAGTTACAGAGAAATTTAAGGACTTATGATGTTATAGTAACAGATATCACACCCTAATTAGAATTTTTTACAACTGAGATTAATACTTCACCAGACTCCTTCTTTTCTCTCCCTGACTTCTGAATCAGGAGGAGAAATTTATCTGTTGCCCAGGTGCCTCACCAAGTTGCTATCCCTGCTGGTCCCAACCCTACACATAGGTGCCCATGATTCTCATAATTGCTGACCACCAAGATAAGGGCATGCAGAATGGAGGGTATGAGGAGGCTGTACTAGTAAGAGCTTAGTTTTGAATATAAATATTCCCATTAATATATATCATTTTCAATAAGAATAAGTCTTGGAATGGAATATACTCTTTATTACTACATTTATTAAAATATATTCACAAGAGAAATATATTTATAAAAGAATACATTTATTGTTTTGATTATACTATTTTTTGCCCCTCAATCTTTCTTTGCTTTTCAGACTCCTACTACAGCAATAGAGATAAGAACAGAGATAAAAAATAAACATCCTTGAAAATACTTTGTGTAATTGAAGTGACATCTGGCCAACTAAAACTAGAGTTAAACAAGCACATTTGGTAAGTTAATCAGTAACCTGGATTCTGGACAGTTGTGACCCCTGACCTTGGGTTTGTTGAGATTCCTTTGCATACTGTTGTGAAATTTCTTCTTTTTACCTAGACTAGTTTGAAGTGATCCTTTACTACTTGCTTTCCAAAAAAGCTAGACTGACACACACTCTCCTCCATCTGGCTCCTTTCCATATGTGTGTAAACATGTTTCACATCTTCATTTTCACTGAAAAGCTTCTTAAATGAATTTATAGTCTATAGTTTCATTCCCACTCATTCTCAGTGGTTTTTGCCTAAACTCACTGCCAAAACCGGCAAGTGAGTTCCCCAAGAAACCCCCGAGAGGTCCGTGACAATAGCTGTAGTAATACAGTCCCAGTTTTTATCTAGCTTAAATTTTTTTTCAGCAGTATTTGACAACATTGACCCTCACCCTGAAAACTCTGCCCTTAGTTTCTTTAATAAAAAGTTTTCTGCATTTTCCTTTTCCTGATTTGACTGTACCTTCTTGTTCATCTCCTATGTCACCTCTGTCTTTCCTAACTGATCCTTAAATGTCAGAGATCTGGAATTTCTTCCCCTTTTTTCTTTTTTTTTCCTGCTTTTAAATTTTTTTTCAGATGGTATACCACTGTATTAGTCTGTTCTCACACTGTTACGAAGAACTGCCTGAAACTGGGTAATTTATAAAGGAAAGAGGTTTAATTGACTTACAGTTTAGCATGGCTGGAGAGGCCTCAGGAAACTTACAATCATGGCAGAAGGGGAAGCAAACACGTCCTTCTTCACATGGTGGCAGGAAGGAGAAGGGCCAAAGAGGGAAATGAAATGCCTCTTATATAGCCATCAGATCTCGTGAGAACTCACTCACTATCATGAAATCAGCATGGGGGTAACTGCACCCATGATTAAATTACCTCCCACCAAGTCCCTCCCACAGCACATGGGGATTTTGGGAACTATAATTCAATATGAGATTTGGGTGGGGACACAGCAAAATCATATCATGCCATCCCTGGCCCCTCCAAATATCATATCCTCACATTTCTTTCTTTCTTTTTTTTTTTTTTGGATGGAGTCTCACTCTGTTGCCCCAGGCTAGAGTGCAATGGTGTGATCTCTGCTCACCGCAACCTCCGCCTCCCAGGTTCAAGCGATTCTCCTGCCTCAGCCTCCAAAGTAACTGAGATTACAGGCACCTGCCACCCACCCAGCTAATTTTTGTATTTTTAGTAGAGTGTAGGTTTCACCATGTTAACCAGGCTTGTCTCGAACTCCTGATCTCAGATGATCCACCCACCTTGGCCTCCCAAAGTGCTGGGATCACAGGCATGAGCCACTGCACCCAGCCATGTCCTCACATTCCAAAACATAATCATGACTTTCCAACAGTCCCCCAGATTCTTAGCTCATTCCAGCATTAACCAAAAAGTCCAAGTCCAAAGTCTCATCTAAGAGAAGGCAAGTCCCTTCCACTTATGAGTCTGTAAAATCAAAAGCAAGTAAGTTACTTCCTAGATATAATGGGGGTACAGGCATTGGGTAAATACACCCATTCCAAATGGGAGAAATTGGCCAAAACAAATGGGCTAAGACCCCATGAAAGTCCAAAATCCGATAGGGCAGTTATTAAACTTTAAAGTACCAAAATGATCTCCTTTGACTCCGTGTCTCATAGTCAGGTCATGCTGATGCAAGAGGTGGGCTTTTACGGCTTTGGGAAGCTCCACCACTGTGCAGGGTACAGTCTCCCTCCTGGCTGCTTTCATGGGCTGGCATTGAGTGTCCATGGCTTTTCAGGGGACACGGTGCAAGCTGTCATTGTATCTACCATTCTGGGGTCTGGAGGATGGTGGCCCTCTGCTCACAGCACCACTAGACAGTGCCCCAATGGGGACTCTGTGTGGGGGCTCCAACTCCACATTTCCCTTCTGCAGTGCCCTAGCAAATGTTCTCCATGAGGGCTCTGCCCCTGCAGCACACCTCTGCCTGGACCTCCAGGCGTTTCCATACATCCTCTGAAATGTAGGTGGAGGTTCCCAAACCTCAATTCTTGCCTCCTGCATAGCTGTAGGACCAATACCATGTGGAAGCTGGCAAGGCTGGGAGCTTGTATCCTCTGAAGCAAAGGTCTGAGCTGTACTTTGGCCCCTTTTAGCCATTGCTGGAGTGGCTGGGATGCAGAGCATCAAATCCAAGGCTGCACACAGCATGGCGGCCCTGGACACAGCCTATGGAAACAGTTTTTCCTCCTAGACTTCTGGCCCTGTGATGGGAGGGGCTGCCTGGAAGGTCTCTGACATGCCCTGGAGACATTTTTCCCATTGTCTTGGTGATTAACATTTGGTTCCTCCTTACTTATGCAAATTTATGCAGCCAGCTTGAATTTCTCCTCAGAAAATGGGTTTTTCTTTTCCATCACATCTTCAGGCTGCAAATTTGTCAAACTTTTATGCTCTGCTTCCTCTTGAATACTTTGCTCTTAGAAATTTATTCCAACAGATACCCTAAATCATCTCTCTCAAGTTCAAAGCTCCACAGATCTCTGGGGCAGGGGCAAAATACTATCAGTCTCTTTGCTAAAGCAGAGCAATAGTGACCTTTACTCCAGTTCCCAACAAGTTCCTCATCTCCATCTGAGACCACCTCCACCTGGACTTCATTGTTCATATCACTATCTGCATTTTGTTCAGTGCCATTCAGCAAGTCTTTAGGAAGTTTCAAACTTCATCACATCTTCCTGTCTTCTGAGCCCTTCAAATCTCTAGGAAGTTCTAAACTTTCCCACATTTTTCTGTCTTCTTCTGAACCCTCCAAACTGTTTCAACCTCTGCCTGTTACCCAGTTCTAAAGTTGCTTTCACATATTTGGGTGTCCTTACAGTGGCGCCCCACTCCCGGTACCAATTTACTGTATGAGTCCGTCCTCATGCTGTTATAAACAGCTGCCCCAAACTTGTTAATTTGTAAAGGAAAGAGGTTTAATTGACTTACAGTTCAGCATGGCTGGAGAGGCCTCAGGAAACCTATGATCATGGCAGAAGGGGAAGCAACCACGTCCTTTTCCACATGGTGGCAGGAAGGAGAAGTGACAAGCAAAGAGGGAAAGCCTCTTATAAAACCATCAGATCTCATGAGAACTCACTCACTATCATGAGAACAGCATGGAGGTAACTGCCCCCATGATTAAATTACCTCCCACTGGGTTCTTCCCAAGACATGTGGGGATTATGGAAATTGCAATTCAAGGTAAGATGTGGATGGGGACACACCAAATCATATCAACCATGTACTCAGTTGCTCAAAAGAGAAAAAGCATACATGACTGCTTTTTTTCATTGCCCACGTAAATCTTAAGCCTACTTCCAAATCACTCTCAGGCTTATCCACTTTTCCCAGCTCTACTGCCAGCCACCCTACTCTGATTCCCAGTGTCATTTTCTCACCTGGACTCCTACAATGGCCTTCTAGTAGCCTACTGTATATAATTGATCTCTTCTCTAATCAATTCATACTCTCCAGCTAGACTGTTCTAAAAGGAAAACATGTGTTTAATCACATTAATAACTTTCCATTTCTCTTCGAATTAAGTCCACATTTCTTAAATGCCTTAGGAAGAAATGATTTCCCACAATGTGGATGGTCCCCACCTGTATCTTCAACCTTACCCCTTATGCATTTCCCTCTCTGTGTTTTATTTATGTTTACTCTTTTTCAGCTTTAGCCCATAGGCCAGAGAGCTAATAGTAGTAGTATGGGACCTCCAATGGACTGATTCTTTCCTGAGCTTGGAAACTACAAACCATTCCCACTTTTCCCTAGCTAATATGCACCCACCTTTCAGGTCTCAAATAAGATGTCATCTCCTTGATCCCTGCCAAACACTAGGCGAGGTTCTATAGCATCTTGTGCATACCCTTTATAATACCTATAACACATAAGTATCTACTTAATGTCTGTACTCTCTGCTATATTATAAACTCCGTGAGGGCAGAAATCAAGTCTATTTTATTTCTATATTCCTAACATTGATCACAGGCCAGGTTGATATTAAAGCTAAAAACTATTAACTGAATGAACAAACAATAAATGACTTTTTCTCCATCATCTACTAGATGACTAGTATAAACATTTTGAGATTAAGCAAATGCTTTCCCCAATTCTGGGCTGGTTCTTAGCATTACTGGATTAGAGTTACAACTGTATACTGTGGATAGATATAAGGCCCACCTTTCCCCAAGTATCTTACCTGGTAACCTGTCAAAACTTCTTTTTCTTGCTGTTTGTTCTAATACTTACCTGCCTCTACCTACAGTCACCTGGGTTCCCTAATTAAAGAATAAAAATATTAATTGCCTTCCGAAAAACCAGTGTTAAGTGCATGCCATTTTTTTTTTTTTTTCCTGGGGGCAGAGTCCTACTTCCCTTTCTTCGGCCAGTTGGAAGGATTATATTATGAGATTTGCTAATTGCTAAACTACTATCCCTGAGAAGATCAGAGAAAGAACACACAGCGATTAGTAAGGGCTGTGGTCTTCACCTAGAATAATAAGGCACCCTCTAATCTTTGCAGCTTTGGAATATGAAGAAAATTGTTCATCAGAAAGAGAGATGACACTGAAGACTTTTCCTCCTTCACAATTTTGTGGAAGTAGTCCAAATGTGTTTAAAATTGATAGGTATTTTTGGGATAATCCTTTTAACCTGGAAAAACAGAGTGGTTCCAAGATATTGAACCCATATGCTAGCTTCGCTGATATCTGTTGTTCCGTATCACTGGCCAACTAAATGCAGAATGAATGAGATTAACTCCACAGGAGTAAATGGTGCCAAGTTCTATGACATAGTTTGGAGGGAACCCAAACACAGGCCTTAAGCTACATCCTAAAATCAAGGCAGAATTAGCAGAATTACTTGCACATACATTTGATTTGAAAAAAAGTAGAGAGAAAAAAAGGCAGTAAAGTAAATATAATATTCTTGATAGTTACACTAAAAGTAATAGAAGGGGAAAAGGCACATAAATATATATAAGCTAACCACATTTTATCAGCTCTACGGTGCTCCCCTTTTCCACATTTTTCATCTGTGAAATTGGAATGCATGTTACAATTCATATTTTGTCCAATTTAATTAGAAACATGTTTTCTTTCTTAGTAGTACACATATGGTGTGTCTTTTAATCAATGACATCTTAGATTGATGAAATACAGTATTTGCTTATAAATATATACTGATAGCATGGGCTCATTACCACATTTTCAAATCATGTTACAATTGGCCACTTTTGTGTATTTGGCAGACTTTCTGCATAAGTTATAGCCTGAGAAAGAGATGAGAAACTTATATAATAGGTATGTCTGATGGAGAATTACAACACGCCAAAACCTCCATGGATAGCAACAACCGAGAAAAGGATAATAAACTCTGCAGCATCGATCATCATTGCATAGGTTAGTAAAGACCCTGTATGCTAGAGAAACAAGTCACTGAAGAGACAGAGATAGAAACAGAGACAGATGGAGGTTGAGATATGGGGTTGGGGTGGAAGGAAGAGAGGTGGGTGGGGAGAGACATACAAAGAGTGAAAGAGAAAGAGAGTGAAGAAGAGAGAAAAAAACACATGATTTGCAGATATGTAAAAGCACAAATATACTTTTCTTCTATTTAAAGATGAGAGGAATATCTATGTTGTTAGGCAGAAGAAATTCAAGGTTTTTTTTTAACTGAGGACTTTCTTTTTTAAAGTTTACATTGAGTGATAATGTAATTAGTTGAGTGGGAAAATGCCAAATGAAAATGAAAATCCTAAGACATGCTATATATGAATGTCTCGGGAAATTCTTGCAGATTCCTTTTCCTTCTCAAGCCGTGTATGTCAGTGAATTGTGCCTAAAGAGAAAACTATCAAACTGGTGGCACCAAAAATAATCAAAATATGTCCAACGGTGCTTAAGAATTTCAGAGGAAGGAAGAAGAGCTTTTTGTTTAAAAAAATAAGTTTTGAAAAAAAACTAATCTTTTGATGAACACAAAACAAGAACTGTTCACAGAAAAACCCCTCTATGTTGCATTATCACAAACGTTCCTTACAGTGCAGTATAACGTTACTTTACAAGTTGCTATTGATCAAAAGTCACTTTCAGTAAGGTGTACTATAGCTGACAAATGGCTTACCCTAGTAGATTGTGCTATAGCTGACAAATGGCTTACCCTAGTAGATTCTTGGTTATTTGTATATTTTTTTTTTCTGAAAAACAATGGCAAGATTCTTAAAATATTTGTTTCACATATTGCAGAAAGCTCCAGAATAAGGCAGAGGAATTGAGCCCAGGGGGAAAAAACGTGCTTTTTTCCAATCAGATTAGATTAAACACTGATTATAAGCCTTAAAAAAAAATAAAGACTCTGGGATGCAGAACACCAAAAAGAGAATGATGGTACCTGCTGTTCATTATCCCTAATGTCCGCCCTTTGTTTGCAATGCATGATACTCCAATGCATGAGGCGTGGTCTTTGCCTCACTGTGCATGTGGCTGGTGATTGCTTTGCTGGCCATAACTCCTGTTGGACCATGGATCAGCTGCTTGCTTGTAGTTCATTAATTTTTTCGGTTTTTCAAAATAGCAAGATCACCCTGTATGGATATCACTTCCTGACCAGGAGAGCAGGATTCCATTTTGGTATATACTTGTAACCCTAATTTTTCTCACTGGAAGAATGGGCTTCTCTTCACATATTCATCTCCCAGAATGTTTTAGGTAGGAAATGAGGGGTCAGGTGCGGTGACTCATGCCTATAATCCTAGGACTTTGGGTGGCTGAGTTGAGAGGATTGCTCGAGCCCAGGAGTTCAAGACCAGCCTGGGCAACATGGTGAAACCCTGTCTCTATAAAATATACAAAAAGGTAGCCAGGTGTGGTGCACGCCTGTGGTGCACACCCATAGTCCCACCTACTTAGGAGGTTGAGTTGAGAGGATCACCTGAGCCTGCGAGGTCAAGGTTGCAGTGAGTCATGATTGTATCTCTACACTCCAGCCTAGGAAGATGGGAGGATTACTTCTCATTGGCTTGTTCACTAAGTATTATATAAGTATTAAGTATACTTATATAAGTATGCTAAGTATTATAATAACATTTGTTAGAAGTGAAGCCCTTAATTTTATTTGTTGTTTCAATTGATTTATCTTGCCCAGTGAAACAAAGTTTAGGAACATTAGCAAATAAAATATTCTTTGTAATCAGCCTTTGTCAACCAATACAAGGTTGTTACTTTGTTTTTTTTTTTTTTTAAATCAAAATGCTTCTTATCCATAACAGTTTGGTATATATGTTCTCTTTTTCTCATGTTTATCAAAGAGATAACACTAAAAAAAGTCTTAAAATCCCTTATATAGATGTAAATTTTAAATTTCAAATGTGTTAGCATCAATAAAGGAAAAAATGCCATCATTAAATTTCATAATTTAAGTGTTTTACTCCAACAAGATGCTTAGTACAAATGTTAAAGAAAAAAACAATTTAATATGTGTGGCTACTTTTTATTAGAAGTAAGAAGGATGACATATACCTTTTTAGAAAAATTAATTTTAATGGCAATTAGCCCCAAATCATAGTTAATTCAGATGAAATTGTTGTGACATCACTTTTCAACTTGATAGGCTAACATAATAGGGGCCAGCTTACCTTCAGTCAACTTTTGGAATTTTACTTGAAAACTCTGGAAACTAACCTAGCCCTTTGATTGTCACATCACCTCCATATTAGCCTCCAGGATTTGCTGAGCTAGTGTCTCAGCAGACCTACTCTGTAAACTGTTACTTCTCCATTTCTGAAAACTAATGTTCTTGGCCAGCACCATATGACATATATTAAGGATTAGACTCAGCACCCTCTAACTACCGTATATGTAATACAGCCCTTAGTTGGCAAATCCTGCTTTTGACAATTGAAAACACAAACATAACAAATAGGATAATAATACACACAAATCAATTAAATTGATTTGAGCTTGCAAAGTTGATGCACCATTTAGTTCTTCATACAGATATCCTTAATCAGACAGTGCAAGAGCATCTTTTGGTTCCCAGTGAACTTTTTCTTAGAGCACTGAATCTCAAATATACTTTAGCACTACATTCATTTTAATAGTCATTGATGATGCTTGGATTTAAAGAGTGCGAGCATTCAGTTGTAATGTTCTCAGTAATTTAAAAGGGCTTTGCGATTTTTGCTTTTGAAAGGAGGAAAGGAATTTATCAGAGCTGTCACAAATCTTTCATACCCTGATACCCTACCCACTTCCCTTCTCCAATCCACAGATCTGTTATTAAATTCTACTACATAGGAAATATGAATAGTCATTGAAACTGTTTCACTGCCAAGATTTGAAAGCTGATGCACTGAGAAATGTTCTCAGTGTATATTAAATGAACACCAAACTCCCTGGCAATAAGGGGACTGATATGAGACTATGACACAGTTAAATTTAGAAACAGGGTTAAAAATAGTGCCATGGTTTTCATTTCGAGGTCATTCACAGACACATTCTCAGAGCCCTGTGGATTCTATCACAGTCAGATTTCATTTCACTTATGGGTTGTCTTTTATCTACTCAGATTATTATGACTTTTGAAGATATATTTTTAAAAACTAATATTTATTAAGCCTCTACTATATTCCTGAGATTCTGCTAAATGTTTTTCTTTGTATCTAATAATAATAACAGTAACAATATGAGAATAATAATATTTGCTGATATGTTTTGGACACTGAAGAAAGACAATACGCAAAGTGATTTCCATTCCTAGTTACACTTTCTCTCACCAAAAGCTTATGAGTTTTGCAAATAAAGAAATTCATGTTTACAGAGGTTCAGTAACTTGTTGAAAGTGACTGACACCTTTACTAAATGGCAGAGCAAGATTTGAATATCAGTTCCTTTGTCTCCAAAGCCCATATCCTCAAAAGAATGTCAGTACAAACATTTTGGAACCAGATTGTGTCTGAATGCCTTCATTTGTGAAATGCTGATAACAATAATACCGACACCAATAGATTGTTGTCAAAATATAATTCTGGAATACACTTAAATTTTTTATAATGCTAATGTGTGGCACATGGTAAACATCCAAGAAACATTGGCTATTAGTATTTTTGTTTAATGACAAAAATAATTATTAGGCTATTGCATTTCAAAAGATGGTGATATTGTCTTTACATCCTTATTTTATAATCATGTAGCACTAAAAAAAATTTTAAAATATTTTATGTCATTCTAACTTCCAAATACTACTTTAAAGTAGTAGCATTTGCTACTTTCAATTAGCCAAGTTTGGAATATTTCTGCAAATATTATTTAATTTAATATTTCTTGGGATCTATGGCCTGTTGTGTAAAATCAACATGTCATAGATACAACATATCAAAAGCAACATCCACTAAAAGCTTTGCCATTTTATCCTCAAAACACTATTTCATTTTCAAAATTTATTCTCATTCTAGAGAAAAGGGGAAGTTAACTTAAGGCATCCTATGGAACTCTGCTGTTAGTTCCTTCCATGCAGATAATATTCCTGAAGTTAACACAATACTGCATTTTTAAAGTTATCCCTAAAGTCCATTTCTTTCATAACCTTAAGGGGAATTTGTTTCAATATTAAAGACTTCAGTCTGTTTATTTGTTAGTTATACATTATCTAGTAGCAGCCAGACAAAAAGGCATTCTAGCAGAATAGCTGACATTAAAACGGCTAAGTTTTCAACGACATCTTGATAAAACATCTTTTAAGGCTGAGATCATTCTCAATTTAAAACAACGATAACAATGTGTAATACTTGCTATTCCCTTCTCCAGACTTTTGTTTCCCTGTACAGCTGACCGCTTGCCAATAGCTGACGACTCTTGCTGAAGTGTTTTTGTAACTGGCATCACTCAGTCACTTAAAATACCAGTTTTAATCCAACCTTACAATTAGTAGAAGGCTTTTGAAGTGCACTGAAATGTTAGCAAGACATTCCAGCAGAAGGTGGTTTCTTTTACTCTGCTAAGTCAGGAAAAGTGACCTGTTACTACTACTTTTTAGTGATGGTTGTGTTTCAAAGAGATCAACACTAAATGAATTATTCAATCAACACCAGTTGTCTTTAAAATAGTAAGGTTGATGCTATAGTACAGAGCAGAAATCCTCAGTGCTGTTCAGCAAATATGTCTAGTCTTTGGCTACCTACTAGAATTTTCTTTCCTGGCTTATTTACTTTTGTTTGTTTGGTTTACGTAGTTGAGTCCATAGGACTAGTTCTGACTCATGGAGTCATGAGCAAAAGTAATATGGGTCACTCCTGGGTCAGAGCATTTAACTGTCAGAGTAAGAGCCCTCATGAACTGTCTTTCCGGCTTCCACAGTGATTGACAGTACTCTAGATTGTGCATATACTGTCCATCAGCCTGGTTTCTCAAAAGCACTGAACAGCAAGACCCTCAAGCGACCTGCACTGGAAATATAGAGTGAACAAAACAACAAACATTTGTGCTATCCACTGAGACTTTCAGGGTTGTTGGTTACCACAGCATAACCAGTCCTATCCTGGATGATGCACACGACAAGAATTACAAATGAAAAAATTGTGATAATTCAAATGGAAAAGGTAAACTGACACTCAAGAAATTACTTTTATAGTCTTGAATGGCATACCTATCCTTGTCGGCAATAGGCTATCAATTTTGTTTCACAGAAATTTAGATTCTAAAATTGGATCCATGATTTATGAAGTCAATACTTGAGTAATCACTATGAAGCAAGCACTCACGATGAATGCAATATCTTAAACTTTATTTTTAAAACATGTTTAACTTCGTCTTAAATATACATGTGATTATAACTAAATTTGAGAGTGAAGAACTAGAATGAATTGCTATGTAAATCAATTATAACATTGCACTGAAATTAGTATTTCTTTAGATTATTCATTTTCATCTTGTGAAAACTATTATATTGTCATAATTTAAAAAGAAACAATAGTGAAAAATTATTCTTCATCTGTGCAAAATTCTATCTCTGACAGGGACACCAAGTTATGGTTGCTCTCCTTGCTTTGATCAGAAATGTACTTCCTTCAAACTTCTTCATTTTGTGCAATAATCCAATTGTGTACTATCATTCATCACATATCTAAATATTGCATGAATTGTTTTGTATTTTTACTATGTGATACCTCCTAAGGATGATGAGTTACCTATGTTTGAAACTTTACTATGAAAAGCAGTACTTAAAAATGTTTCTTAATATTATTTTCTACTTGTCATCTAATTCTACAAGAGGGTCTTCTCCACTTGTAGATTACTTCCCTATTACTACTTGCCACATTTTAATGTATTTCAAACTACTTCCCGTTTATTTTCTACTTTCCACACCTAAGGGCACAAATATTCATAGCCACTCAATTGTGATGCCATAGTCATTTTGAGCTGCCATAACCAATATACGGTAGGCTGGGTGGCTTGAACAGCAAACATTTATTTCTCACAGTTCTGGAGACTGAGAAGTTCAAGATCAAGATGTAGGCGAATTCAGTTCCTGGTGAGAGCCCGTTTGCTTGCTGTATTGCTACATGGCGGAGAGAAAGGGATCATCTATCTTGCCTCCATTTTTTATAAGGACACCAATCCCATTATGAAGACTCCACCCTCTTGATCTAATGACCTCCCAAAGCCTCACCTCTTAATGCCGTGACAATGGGGATTACAGCTTCAACACATACATTTGCTGGGGACTGGGGGGAGGTAGTATAACATAAGCCGTTCACTTCCAATCCTGCATCATTTTCAGTAAAACATTCAAAAAGTAAACAATGACCAAGTTTCAAAAACTGTAGCTCATAATGATGCACAATTATGTTATGTACGGGAAAGAACCTATGATTGTTAATTCTAAAAGAACTCATAATCATTAATTTTATAGTTTTGTAAGTCCTTTTGATTTAGGCAGTATTTTCATAATGACCTTTACTAATACTTGCCCTCAGAAAATATTTTTTAAATATTTAGTTTTTCTCTCCCATGCATGTAATACATGAATACATGATTTTTTTTTTGTCTGCAAAGTGGCATAACATAAAATGTATTAATGGCTTTTGCAAATTACTATAACCCATAGTAAGGTACACACTATGAAGAAACAATCTTCTGGTTGTTAAGAAATGTGGTGGGCGCAGTCACTCACGCCTGTAATCGCAGCACTTTGGTAGGCGGGGGCGGGCAGATTGCCTGACCTCAGGAGTTCCAGACCAGCCTGGGCAACACGGTGAAACCCTGTCTCTACTAAAAATATACAAAAAAATTTAGCTGGGCATGGCAGCGTGTGCCTGTAATCCCAGCTACTGGGGAGGTTGAGGCAGGAGAATTCGCTGGAACCCAGGAGGCGGAGGTTTCTGTAAGCCAAGATCGCACGACTGAGACTCCCTCTTCAAAAAAAAAAAAAAAAGAAAGAAAAGAAATAAAGTGACTTCACCTTGGATGACTCAACTTTAATTGTGTGAAATTAACTTATTTAACAACTGAGGCCAGGCGCAGTGGCTCACGCCTGTAATCACAGCACTTTGGTAGGCGGGGGCGGGCAGATGGCCTGACCTCAGGAGTTCGAGACCAGCCTGGGCAACACGGTGAAACCCTGTCTCTACTAAAAAAATACAAAAAAAATTAGCTGGGCATGGCAGTGTGTGCCTGTAATCCCAGCTACTGGGGAGGTTGAGGCAGGAGAATTCGCTGGAATCCAGGAGGCGGAGGTTTCTATAAGCCAAGATCGCACCACTGAGACTCTGTCTTCAAAAAAAGAAAAGAAAAAGAAAAAAGAAATGAACTGACTTCATCTTGGATGACTCAACATAAGTCGTGTGAAATTTATTTATTTAACAACTGAAGCCGGGCACAGGGGCTCACGCCTGTAATCCCAACACTTCGACAGGCTGCGGTGGGTGGATCATCTGAGGTCAGGAGATCGAGACCAGCCTGGCCAACATAGTGAAACCCCGTCTCTACTAAAACTACAAAAATTAGCCGGGCGTGGTGGCGGCGCCTGTGGTCCCAGCTACTCGGAGGCTGAGGCAGGAGAATGGCGGGAACCCGGGGGGCGGAGCTTGCAGGGAGCCAAGATGGCGCCGCTCACTCCAGCCTGGGCTGCAGAGAGACTCTGTCTCAAAACAAAAAACAAAAAACAAACAAACAAAAAAACCCCTGAAATTTGAAGTAAAGTATCAGAATTTAGTGTTTTCGTGGAAGAGTAAACAGTGATTTCTTTCAGAATATGTGTCTTACTTTGATTAAAATTCTTCTGTTATGCTGCACAGATGAAAGTAACAACTATTTTTGTTGTACTTGATGCTAAAACTGAGCCTAGAAGATCAGATACAGATTTCAAAGGATAGTACACATCTGTGCACTAATGTTGGTTCTTAAACCTCCGTACCACAAGGTCATATGAAAGTACCAAATTCTATATTCTATTCATTGTTGTGTGAAAAAACAGACTGGCAGTGGCTATTAATATTTCTGCAGTTTGTTCCTATGCAAATTTAAAAGCATATGCTAACTACAACACAAATGTTATGTTGAAATATTGACTCATTTCTGCTTTTACCTGATTATTTTTTAAAAACCCACACATCTATCCACCTTTATTATTTTTTAGTATACTAAAATAATCCATGTGTATAAGAAATGATACCTTATACATATTCAGTTATCACCTATTTAGGATTTTAGAAAGTTGAAGCAATGTAGACAGTCCACACGTATTTAAAATAAAAACCTTGTCGTATGTTTTAAGTAGGGTGAAGTTAAATTTTATTTATATAGCATATGCCAAATCTGACAAAATGAAGCAATTCAGAAAGGTCCAAGATAATCAGCCATGCATTCCAACATTTTCCTCAGTAATCTTCAAAATAGAGAATCTATGTGTAAATAGTCATAAGGTAGTCATTAACCCATGTATTTTAAATAATTTTGAGGTGGCTTGTAATAAAAGCATAGGGAAGGAATGCAAGACCATTAGTCCAAAATTAAGAAGAAAAATCAAATTGTAAAAGATTAAGAAGGGGAAATTAAGCAGAAAAATATCTATGAAATAACTTCCAATTAATTTCCTAAAGTCTTGAATATCAACCAAAAGATTGACAAGTAAATGTATATTTATGTTTTAAGTTTAAAAGCTATTCTTATTTATGTGTATGTAATATTTTATAATTTCCATGTCTTTCAAAAATTGCAGTCAACCAACCAATAAGATCCCAATTGTGTAAGAACAAGAGGGTAACCAGTGTACTGAGAAGTGGTGAGGGGGGAAAATAGTAGCATAAAACTTAGTTCTAAGCAGAAGTGAATACACCATGTAGCTAATAAAGCTTAAGCTTCAAAGCCCTGAACTTTTATGAGGCTCTTTCACAGCCTCGTACCTAATTTTGTATTCATAATTTTGAAGTTTTATTTTCTCAAACACAGCTCCCCAAATTGTAAAGACTTGAGGTTCCATTAAGCTAAGATTGGCTTCTGGCCTGTCAAGAAAAAATGTAGTTGATCATAGAACTCTCAGTGCTTAATAATAGGAAAATCCCCAGTTCATAATAATGAACATTTTTCTAGTTGATGTTCTCACAGACAAATTTAATATTAGATGCTTTATGTGAAAAAGATGGAACACTATAACAGAGTATAGACCCTTGTCAATGATGTTACAATATGGCAATATATCACAGAAAAATGCAGCATTATTCTACATACAGTGTGTCTTTATGTAAACAGCAAGGGCATGCTACTAAAGTATATTTCACAAAGTGTGTGGGTTTTTTTTTCAGGATGGCACAAAGGGACTCTGGAATCGGGTTTGGCAGGAAAGTTTGTTATAGGGCAGAGGGTGGATAAAAGTAATAGCAAATGTCAGGGGGACAAGAGACTACAGTAGAAGGAGCTAAGCTAAACGAACAATCCAGCCACAGTAGAATAGAAAGATGAACCATCTTGTGGAACTGTAAGATTCAACAATTTATGTAAAATTTTCCATTGTCATCATGCGTAAAATTAGAGCAATAAAGCATTATTAGTAATGAGGAAACTGGATTTTCAATGCAACTAACTGACAAGATGATATGAAGGTAATTGGTCATGAGAATGTTTAGCATTAGTAATGGATTGTCTATTTTTAAAATTGCCTTACCATAATTAAACTACAAAAAGTCACTATGTTTCACTGCAGAACATTTTTACATACCATATTAAAGAAAGAAATAACCATTTCCAATGAAGTATGGATATTATTTCTCAGTAATAAGCGTTAAAACCAGGATTTGTTCATTGCTTTATCATTGGCACCAGCATATACCAGACTCTGAGTAAATATTTTTTAGTAAATAAAAAATTCACATCTAACAGCCATAAAACTCTAGAAAAATGTATGATACTGCAATTTTATGCTGAAGGGTACAGTATGGGTATAGATATACTTATTAATCACAGTAATTATTAGAAAGAACTCAATATGCAATAAGCTATATATACATAGTAAAGAATCACAACTTCATATTATAAATTTAATATGTTGAAAACTATTAGCTAATCAAAATAACCATGAATTATACAATGCAAACGTAAATTACAATATCAATAGCTTTTTAAAGATTACTTGTTGGGGGGAATAATTTTTTTTTTTTTTTTTTTTGAGATGGAGTTTCATTCTTGTCACCCAGGCTGGAGTGCAATGGTGCAATCTCGGCTCA